TGGTTGTTGCTTCTTATCTCTGAAGATGAACTCCTGTAAGAGTTCGAAAGCTTAGGACAATATATCTATTGATCCAGTGCTCGACATGTCTTCTTCTTTATCCATACCTGGAACGCGAACCTTTTCATTCATTCGGGTAGTTATCACAGTTCATGTTACAGTGAAAGCCTGCCAACGGCGACTAAGGGGGGGGAGGCAAATGACGGGGCAGCAGTTTTTCATAAGGGGGAGGGCGGAGGCGTGAGAGGAAATGAGTTTATCGATCGTCATCACGGCAATGAGAGGTTGATCACATGGTCCAGCCGCTTACAGAGTTCTGGTTTTATTTTCCATATTGCAGCGGCCTCCGTAAATCGCAGGAGACGCCCGGTCGTCACCCGAAGTACGACCTTAAATGCAGTCCTTTGGTCCACCGTATGGCCAGTGTCCACTAGGTGCTTCGTGATTGAACTCTTGGGTATTTTTTTTTCCACCCTGAGCAACCACTTAGGAATATGTTCAGCTGATCGAGTTACCAACTGCCTTTGCGTGCGCCCGGTGTATTTGCATCCGCAACTACATTTAAACTAGTAAACGCAGTTTGATGTAGCGTGCATAGGTAGAATTTCTTAACCTGGCCTAAGTGGTATTGCTGTTGCCAATAGAAGTGAATAGGCGATTTCTAGGAAGCAGTTCAGAAGAAGAAGAAGATGCAACTTTTAGGATTCTGTTGAGAATCCTTATTCATGGGTAATGGAAGGATAGTCGGAGCCATGCGCAGATAGGGAGCTGTTGTTGTGCTTATTTACAACAATTTAGAGGCGGTGTATGTTCTTTCGATCGTGCATCAAAACCCGTGCTTGATCCCATCGGACACATTATCACCCCTGAATGGGAGGAGGATGCTCACTGGCTTTTATTTCGGGAGAGTTTTCTTGTTTGCGGTGGCCATACGCATCGATGAATTTCTTCGGGTAGCCGTTTCGAAAAGACACTTTCTTCAGAAAATTGATATCTTCATCGATCTTATAATCCGTATCTCGCATTGCCGTGATAAAGATTCATCAACCCATTTCCTCTCACGTCTTCTCCCTCCCCCTTATGAACGACTGCTGCCCTGTCCTTTGCCCTCTCCCCCCCCCTTAATCACGCATGACAGGTTTACACTGTAACATGAACTGTGGTAACTACCTCCCCCCTCCTCTACCCCTTTATCATGATCCTACTATATTTTTCTATCAAGTTTCACCCTTCTAGGTGCATACTTAATTGGACAGTTCATTTATTTTATTAATAGATAATGAACATTTGCAGTTTAATAAGAAGTCGAAAAATTGTATGGCACCAATAAATTCTGCTAGTCTCGTGATGTTTGCGCTGTTTAAATTTCTTCCTTGAAAACTGTATTTCAATTTTTGGAGTGTTCCGTCTTCTGCTCAATCCCATTTACTTGTTCTGAAATTTTATAGATGTAGTTAAGTAGTGCTGAAGTACAGTAACTTTGCTAGGAGATTCCTGAGTGGTTACCGCATCCCAAAAACTCTTTTAAAAGTAAATATGGGTGCCTCTGCATATTTCATCAGTCTGACGCCTCGATCTTTCCCAAATTGCTTTCCTGATTAACCGGGGATTAGTGAACCAATGAGATTGCTTAGTCGTCGCCCTCTTCAGCTCGCCAACTAATTGCTTGCTTTCAATACTCAACTTTAGTCAGGGAAATGCCGAAATCAACACGGTTCTCAGCGCAGAGATTGAGGACTTTCAAGCCGTACGTGCCCGTCTTTTATCCTTTTTGGAGAAGCGATTAACTGGATTTCGGTACTACTTCCCCTTCAATCGGCCGGAGGCAGCCCTGGAAAACTTGCTTATCCTCATGGAAAGGGTAAGTGTTAGAATTCTCTTAATTCAAGCACTGTTGCCAGCCCCAGTTGTAAAACGTAAAGTAGGCCGATGACCGTAAAAGATAAAATATGCTGGGAAATTACTTAAAACTCTTTGCTACCTCATCCCATAGTAAGTTTGGCGCAGGGACGTGTCTTTCGGCATTTGAGGCAAAGAAAAAAACGTCTGTGATAACTAGCCAAATATGATTTTCAGCACGTTCTTTTTTTAAACGCTCGAAAGATGTCTTGTGCCCTTGATGCCACCCAATGAAGCCTGAGTAAACCACATGCGAGTCGGCTTCGCCAATGTTTACTGATCTAAGTTCGCCTCAAGTCCCTGGTTAGAGTTCGCATAGGCGGTTGCATAGTGCCGAGCAATCCATAATGCAGAACGGCTACTACAAAGACCAGTTATGATTGGAGTAATCATTTCTTAATTACTTGCCTCTCTTAGCCGGCCAGGTGATGATGACTGAGGACTCGAACCTGAACTCTATAATCGTGGAACATCTGACTCGAACACTCCACCACTAGTCCATAGAGTGATTGAGCACCGGAGCTATTTGTTATTCGCCTGACGTTTCGACATTCGTCGCGGATTCTTCATCAGAGACATCAGCAGAAAATAGTAGCAGAAGCGGGTAGCATATGCACAGGAATTTGCAGTGTTTATAGAACATAACCATTACTGCAAACGTAAAACGGCAATTAGCGATAATTGCCCTCTTGTTATTTGATAGCTTGTTGACAGGCATGTGAGCTCTGACTTTTTGAACTTACATCACGCGTGGTGGACTCGGGCGTGATGATTGCTTGTCCATCTTGCTCTCCGGTGTTGGCGTAAGACGACGCGGTGGCCTGTGCCTTCCCCAAGTGGTGACTTGCTTTGGCCAAATTGAGCCCCAGCACTGAATATGGATTGGGCGATTCAGTGCACTTGTTTATGAACGGGGTTCTGTGAACCATGACTCGAGTAATTCGTGGCTTACACGATTATCATCTCTTGCCAGAATTTTGATCTCATCAAATTTGAATGCGTGGCTGAATCTTGTCGAATGAGCCGCAACTTGAGAATTGGCATCATTTCACCGCACTGCTGCCGGGTGTTCGGCAATTCGCGTCTTGAGAAGTCTGCCAGTTTTTCTGACGTAATTGCTTTGTCCGCAACTGCACCAAATCCTGTAGACGACTCCAGATGTTTCTTGCCGGGGCAGTGAGTCGTTGGATTTCATTATTTGACGCCTTATTGTTGCTTCCGGCCTTTTTGCGGCTCCAACTCCAAGGTGTGCGAGAAGGCGGCCAACGGCCTCCGACACGTTTTTGACGTATGGGATCGCTCGCCAAAATTTGGAGTCGGTGCCATTTTGTTATCCATCTCGTTTGCGCACGCACCGGTTGATGATATTGAGCGGGTAGCCACTTTCTCTGAACACTCATCGAAGATTTTGTATTTCGACAACTTTGTCTTCTGGTCCACTGCAGTGTTGCTAAACACATCGATAAAGCGTCCTTACGCAACTGCGTTTATGGCTGGTTAGGTGGTTGCTGTTGAAGTTCAGTCCTTGCATCGTGTTTTTCGCTTTCCTACATATTTTGGTTTTTAGGCTACTGTTCTCGGCTGACGTCTCTGATAAAGAATCCGCGACGAATTTTGAATGTCAGGCGAATAAAGGTGCTTTCCCAGCGCTTGAATCTTCTTCTGCTCAGTCATGACATATTTATTAGGTTTTCTGGGGATGTTGAATCCAAGCGGGTCCCCAACAGCTGTTAGTATTCTTTGTTCGAGGTTGTCCCCTCTAGCACTTTGGCTTAATAACCTAACCACAAGGCAGTAGTGGCAAGCAAACCTATTTAATGGCGGTTCACGCTTGCCATGTCAGTGTCGACATTGGTAATTGCGC